ACTAGTAACTCGTATAAATCATCCACAAGAGCAGGTCCCCCGAATTCGAAGAGGGCTGGAGGAAGATCATCTGGTCCCGCAGCTTTATTTAACTTGAACAATTCGATCTCACGTTCGACTTCTGATGGAGAGGTGGATCCGAAGAGACAGCCCACGGAGCGGGGCGATCAGTGGCAGGCGAAAAATCTAACAATTCCGACCGGTTACATTGCTTTTCAAAGTGCTTAGCCCAACGTTCCAAGCGTTTTGACAAGTTGTGTATAGGCTGTCCACTCTTGTCACGTATAGTTTCACTAACACCAGGTCTCCGGCTGTCCGTTTTCCGTATCAGACAGAATGACTTACGATGGTTACCAAGGACAGCTGCCATTTGCATCTCTGAAGCACGATGAGACCATCAGGATTCGCGTTCTCTCTTCAGGCTAGCACGGAATTTTGCCCGGAGCTCTTTGCAAGTTTCATTGTGTTCGCTTCCAGCCGGAATATGCCGGAGAGCATCGATAAGTTCCAGAGACCGCGAAGAGACCCAATGTCCATGTTGGCGATTAGACTCACCACATGAGGATTTTCTTGCTGCTAGTAAGGTCTGGTGAATATGAGACCAGTGAGCTTCAATTGCGTCCGGTGAGCGCCTACTCAACTCGCATGTCAGCGCACTCTGACAGACATTCAGAACAGCTGTCTTCGCCAGTTGGCTGGTGTCAATGCGGTCACAACGTCGTGGTGGGTGTCCGTCATAACGCATCCGCAGGTCAGCACATACAAGTGCATGGTCGGTGTTTACACATGTACTCCAAATCGAGCGACAGTTTTGGACGCAGCCACTCCATCGGTAACTTATCGCGATGTGATCGATTTGCGTCCCCAGCTGGTGGGCGCCAAGTCACCCTCCGGCGGGTGCTGTGTCGGAAGTTAGTGTTCGCAAGAAATAAGCGGACATCTTCACACAAATGAAGTAACCGCTCACCGTTATCATTACGAGAGCCTACACCATGTTGGCCGCCCAGATGCAGTACATCAGTGGATAATTTTCCAACGAGCGTTCAGATCCCCAGCCAGCACTACAGTGGCCGAGCTCCTTCTGTGGCGAATGAGCTGGTTCAGTTGACGATAGAAGTCGGCTTTTACCGAACCATCGCTAGAGTTGGTGGATGCGTAGGCAGCGATGACGAATAGACACCTATTAGTCCCAGGGGACTTCGAAGCTTTAAACGAGCCAGTCAATCGGACCGCACACATCCGTCTACTGATAGGAATCCAATCAACCAGAGTAGCTTCAGCCCGGGGACTCAGGGCGATACCAACATCGGCTTGGCGGGTGCTCGGAGCTGCATCGTCACCGGATAGGCGCAATGAGAAAATACTGCTGGTGTCACCTGAAGGGGATCGCAGAGTGAGCACAGAATTAGAGTCTTGCAGGCGGCTCTCCGATAAGCAGCAGATATCGATTGAGAGGGTCTCTAATGTTCGGGCAAGTGCTGCCTGTTGACCGGTCTGCAGTAATGTGTGTACACTGAGGCATGCCAATCTGAAGTAGGATCGAGGGCTCCAAATGGAAGCCGATGAACTGGGCTCAACCACTTACTTGGACATCAGACCGGTTGACAGGGCGGGATTGACACTCCGCGTTGACATGTGAGCTGAAACTTGAGGCCAAGCGATCACTGAAGCAAGGTGGGGGAGGACCAAGAAATGAGGGTTTGAAAACAGGGGGAATAAAAGTGAAGCTGGAACGGGACGATAAGGGTGAAAAAGTGTAAGGGGGAATAAGAAGACAAGAAGGCTTGAGCAGTAGCATCCAAACCCCTATCCACCCTGATCGATGCAGCAGATAGGGCACCGTTGATTATACTCTGCGGTGGCCAGAGCATCAGGAAATTGTTTGAGGAAATATTCATAGTATTGCGTGGGTAGGATACTGTCAGGTTGACCAGGCCTAGACAGGAGAACGATTAGGGTTCTCAACCAAAGCCCTTGGTTCGAAAACCTGACCGCAAGGCAGCGGGTTTGGCTTTGGGCTACAAAGAGTCCGTGTTAAGGAATAAGGAGCCATCCTCATTCCAACATTCAACTTGGAGGACCAGGAGGCTGTTTGTCTGGCCTCTAACCATTGACCAATTTGGTATGAGTGGCTCTGAAGGTGCAAAAGCACCACCCAGCATAGATCAATGGATCTCTGAGGCACACCAACCATCGCACCACGGTAAGATTCAGCCTCTGCGATGGCCGCTAAAAGGAAACATTGTTCCAAAAACTCTTCCTGGATCGATCATGAGTTACAAAGTCTTATGAACAATCGATGCATGTTATGGGATAGGATCACGTCTACAAAATAAAGCTTAGGCTAATACTCGAACTACAAGGCGGTAAGGGGCCGTATAAATAAAGCAGGACAGGACAAGACACGGACGAAGCAAGCTTCCGCCTAACCAGCATCCCGTTTGATGTGCCAATAAGCGTAAAAGAGCCCCCAGTATTGCGACCTGATAGAATTTTGTTGATTCTATGATGGTGAAAGGCAGTAACAAGTGCAAGCTGACCAACACCCTCTCATAAAGTAATGAGATTACGGGCAGTCACTAAAGCTTAAGGAAATTCTGGGAACAGGGCGAGCCAATGTTTGTCTAGGCTACGTTTAAATTCCTCCAGTTTCGCATCCCAGTAGAGCAGAAGAAAGTTTATTCCAAACAGGCACAACCCGGTTTGCGGAGAACCTGGCTCTTGAGTCTAGACTAGATTTATGCTGCTACAATTTCACGCAATTGTCCCGCAAGTTGACCGCTGAAGCTGGTTCCAACAAATCGGAACAAGAGACAGCGAACAAGCTCGTTTTCAGTGGATCTGGTCAGGTTGGTATACCATAACTGATTTGCATCAGTTATGAGACTTGTAAATGCTTTCTTGCACATTTCATCGTGTCGCCAGTGCTAAAGCGATGCTTGGTGGTTGCGGACTTGAAGCGGTTCTCCGGATAAGCAAGGGGGTGGCTTTAGTTGGTGGCGAGTCACAACCGCCACGTCACTGTTGTTAAACAGAGATTTGTGGCTTTTTATAGGGAAAAAGCGCTCTAGGCAAAAACCCATCTATCATTCAAGTGGCCAATCTTTGCACAATATCAAAAGAAATAATATCTTTCTGCAGGTATGGTGCCTAGGCCTGAACAGTACTTCAGATGTGGTATGACCACAGCTTTGAACAAGGGGAGGAATACCTCTGGTTTGGTACAACTCAGAACTCTTCGGAGACGAAATAACTCTTGTCGCGTTTTACTAGTCGTATTCCTGCACTGAGTCGAGGGCTTAAGGCCAGTCGTCACGAGGACAACTAGATCGCGTGTCTCGGTTACATGCTGCAGTGTTAGGGACCCGTTGTATGCACAGTTAACTTCATCCCGCGGGGTTAGGATTTGATATTTGCGGGTGTTCAGTGATACGTATAACAAATGTGACCAATTAAGAACGATAGCAAAATCTCTAGATAACAAAGCCCTGTTTCCCCTGCTGACAAGCTTCAAGTCGTCAGCAAACGTCTAGGAGGGGACTTCAAGTAAAAATAGCAATGGACTGAGTACTGATCCCTGGGGAACTCCACTATGAGCAGTGCCTGACACAATGTCCTACCATAGAGGAGTGCAGACAACCAAGAACGCAGCCAAAGAGGGATTCCAACACAGGTCATTTTTTCTAACAAGAAACGGTGATTTACCGAATCAAAAGCGTTACTGAAGTCAAGGTAACGCACTCTTACTGATATACTTTCATCAAGACATCGAGGAAACACAGCAGATTGGTAAGGCATGACTATTTCTTGACGAAGCCAGGCTGTTCTGCTCCGATCAAGTTATTAACAACCGGATGTTTACAGATTAGATTACTAATGGTGTTCTCTAAGCACTTGAGAAGAACGCTAGGCAGAACAACAGGCCTGTAGTTATTGGGTGAAGATTTAGTACCACTTATGGATTGCCACTACAATTGCTTCCTCAATTTTGTGGTATCATCCCCTCACGTAGAGACATGTACAACTCACTTGATTACGCGATGCGACGATTACGGTATTGAATACCCACTGTCTGCTCCATGAACTCTCTGGAAAACAGGCAGCAACTCCGGTGCCTTATCAAGGTCTCCTGTAGCCAGTTGCCCATCTTTTGCGTTTTGCGCGTGTCTAAGCTCATAGGAATATTTGGCCTGCCTCTGCAGTTTGACCGCCAAATTTCGAGTTCCTTTGTAATTAAGCCACCTGCAGAAATCACTACTCATGGGACCATTTCTAATGTATATTCCGCAGTGTCAACATCCGCATGTGAATGCCAGATTCGACGAAGCCTTCACAGGAAACTGACGAAGGAATCGTTCAATGATTATAACCCATGGAGCCCGTTAATCCACCAACTGCAGCTTCCGAAACGATGCCCATCCGTAATAGGCGGCGGAGCTGGTGAAGGACTCCATGTGGTTCATCCAAGAATATATGGTAAGTACATGGAGATTTTTTCTATGCTTGTAAATATTTTACTTTTTTCACCTGGGCTAGCTCACTACTACAGGTAACACTGTGTCAGTGGGACATGTCCTACATTGAGATATAGCTACATAGATGTTCAACATCTTTCTCGCTATCATGACAGTATGACAGTATCAATACGTCTGAGCCACCAGCGAGGCTTATCCGCGTGGCGCCTATTGAACAGAACGAACTTCTTAGCTGAGTCTCGGTACACAAATGGAGAAGAAAAGAACAAATTGACCGCTCTTACTTATAGGAGGCTCAACATTAATGGCTGACAAGCGACCATACTAGGTGATCAAGCAACCATAATTGGTGATCAAGTAGGAAGGGAGTCGTCCGTCTAGATTACGTGGTAGCCCGAAAAGATAGCTGAATTATATCAAAGTGAAAAAAACACTGGTAGACTCGAATCTAAGTTTAGTTAGTAAGCGCAGTTTGAATCAGGTAGGTTGCAGACCAACGCAAAACACTATAAAGGTTTCACTCACGAACTCCGTCTTTAGCTTTTCATGCTCCGCCTTAAAACACTCAAGCATTGTTAAGCACTTATCCTTAGTCGGATGGGCGAGCTCTTGTATTTCTAACGACATCTGCTCAAACAAATCACGAATTTCGTCAAAAAGTATGGAAGTGTCACGAACAAGCTTCTGCCGATCGCCTGCAGTCTAGATGAGGGAATACACAAACTGACCATTTTCAAGCAGTGGTATTCTCCCTAAATTAAGAGTAATCTCTGACGTGAGGTTTCCATATTGTTTTTCATATGACTCGAAAAGGGAAGACATGGGCAGGATCAACCTTTCCACAATGGGTCAGTAAGGAAAAATGGGCTTTGATCCTGGGTACACCTACAGCTAACTCCCTAAGAGCGCTAGATGCAACTAAAAAGCTTCAAGGCGTACATATATAAATATTTTAATGAAAATGGCTGGTGAAGCAAACTGTATAGCCTAAATGTCGGAAGTGGTGCTAACTATTTAACGGTTTACGTAGGTATCGTGTTAAATTGGACTTTAGTTCTTTAGTTGTTTACGTGTTAAAAATTATTACTAATTTACATATATTTTATCATTGTTTGTTTTTATTGGTCTTCCTGGCGCGCTAGATATTCATTGTGCGGTACGTCAAATTTGCGTGCTTGTGCGACCTTCACTCCCATCATCAGTCGGCTCTGCTTAAGGGCTTGGGATACGACATTAAGGTAAAGGACGCCTGTAACCAACGAGCGAAACTAGGTTTACGCGTGGTCGAATTTGAATGGTTGCTTTGACGGCACCTTTTCCCCCTGCCTTTCAAAACGTCATTCCTGCGCAATTACTGAAGCAGTACGAGAACCTGAGGAGAACAGTTAACTGTAACTTTTCTTTCACCCCTTCCTATGTTACACTGATTCTTTCTTATAGAGCCTACGTGTTCTGTAACAGACGTTCTGTTTCAATTCCTGGAGTTCTCCCTTATCTGTACGTTATAATTGGCGACCCTGCCAGGATCAAGGAATAATGGCGAAGCCAAGTAGTCCATCTGCTGAAGAAATTCGGCCGCTGACCTCCGCTCCAGGGGTAAAGATTGCTTTTGCTTTGTAATCCTTGTCGGACGCCGTGCAGATGACAACGAACCTGACACCAGCCCCTTCCACACCCTAGTTAACACTTCTGGAGAAATTTTTACCAGGCACGCCATATCTCCGAAGAGAAAAACCAGTGCAAATGTCCTCAAGCACTTTCCAGCCCCACAGCGCGGTACTGGTAATGTGGGCCTACTGGCAGGCAAAGCATTTGATAAAGTTGGGGTAGTCAAGTGCTGGATGGAGAGATTGCCATAGAAACGTTCACCGCTTTTCGCCGTCTCGTGGATCGGCCCGGCCTGCCCGACGAATTGCGCAAAGCTTTTTATGCCTGGTCCCAGTGAGCGGGGAAAGCATAGAAACAACGCGCGCTAACTGTGGAGGATGGCAGTAACTGCCTGTGCAAATGAAACGCATGAACAACAACAAGCGCATTTTGGAGTAGTTGCTCGAAGGCATCCAAACTCCCTCGGTAAAGAGGGAGTTTCGTTTACGACCCCCTACTGGTATTCAGGCAGCCCTAGAAGTATCAGATCAATTGGAGCTAATGGACAATTTCATAGGCCCTATGGAACCGTGTTGCGCGCTGAAGTGATGCAATCACGCTACCTTCAAGCCACCAGAACGAAGGGATGGGAATCGCGTTCCGTATAGATGTGGTTACTCGCGACCACCGGTACAATGTAATTTCCGAAGGCCACGCCCTCGTCCGCCACGAAGAGGAACTTTCCCGCCAAGCCGTGGCAGCCGAAATCTTCAAGGTGCGTGCGGCCGATTGACGTTAGTTTTCATTTCCGCTGATACATGTACAACCTCCGCATTCTCCCTAACCGTAGAGCTAAGCATAGCAGGAGTGCCACTGGTAGGTCTAATTGACACAGTGGCGTGCAGGAGCTTAGTCCGAGCTAATATAACCAGGTCGTTGACTGATTGTGTGGGACGCCATGCCGCTACCGTCTGACCGCTGCTAATGGGGAACCCTGTCTGTTCGAGAACTATCACTGCCCAGGTGCACATTGTTAATGAGAATTTCCGTCAAGCGTTTGTTGTCGCTGATAACATTCCATTTGCTGTAATCATTGGAATGGATTTATTGAGGAGCCTGAGATGTCACTTAGATTTAGACAAATGCCAGCTGCTCACTAACAGTTGCGTTGTATTGCTCAGACAAGGCCAGGCCGACAGTCTTGAAACGTTTACGATTTGTGGGAGCCCCTCTGAGGAGGAATACCAGGCAGACACGTTTATCTGCGCACTCGAACTGCCAACGGACGGGTGAACGTTGGAAAAGGTCAAAGAATTGCTGCTAGCTCACTACGATGCATTCGCTGGCAGACTGCAGACCTAGGTTTTGAAACACTTACTCGATACTGGGAGTACGTCCCCGATTAAGACTCACTTAAGGCGGATGGCAGTGCACTGGCAAGGCCAGCTCCAAATGATCATAGGCGAGCTGTTGAAAAAGGAGGTTACACGGCCCTTCACTTCACCATGAGAAGCCCCAGTCGTCTTGCTGATGAAGTAAATCGGTGTTTTTAGGCTGCGCTGATCATAGGCGGCTAAATGAAGTCACTCGAAAGGATGCATATCCACTGCCCAGAATTGCTCTCCTTTTCGACGCGCTCGGTGGGGCAGCTTATTTCAGCACGCTAGCTTTGGTGTCTGGTTATTGACAAATGGAGGTTGAACAGAGTGACCGAGCGAAGACAGCCTTTGTAGTCCCTTCAGGCCTTTATGAGTTTCAAACAACGTCTTTCGGCCTATCAAACGCTGCTGTAACGTTTCAACGCCTTATGCAGAAAGTGCTTCACAATTCACAAGTGTCTCGTCTATCTGGACGATGTCATCATACATAGGAGAACGGTGGATGAACATCTAAGCAATCTAGCCGAAGTGATTATGTGTCTAATCAATGTAGATTTGAAACTCCAACCAAAAAATATCGCTTGCTACAAGAATAACTTACCCATCTCGGACACACCATCTCTAGAGCAGACATCCGGACAAATTCTTGCAAGACGGATCAGGCAAAGTCGTGGCCAATCCCCCTAATGTCGAGGAGTTACGCAGTTAGGGATGTAGTCGTACTACCGCTGATCCATCAAAAGGTTCTCGGAAGTCGCAACATTTTAAACGCGCTGTTGCAGAATAGTCGCAGTTTCGATTGGTCTGTCGAGTGTCAAACGGGCTTCGATCGATTGCGTGAGTCTCTGTGTACCGCACCGAGGTTAACCTTCCCCGCCTTTTCACCACCTGCTGGGGAGTTTATTTTGGGCACGGATGCCAGCGAGCAGGCCAGTGGAGCGGTTTTGTCACAAAGGGGCGGGATGGCATAGATAGAGTGGTTTCATACAGTATTAGAAGCCTTAAATTAAGAGAACGAGATTACTATACGACAAAGAAAAAATGTCAGCACTGGTGTTTTTCATAAAACAAAATCGGCAGTGCCTTTTAGGAAGAAAATTCGTAATACGAACTGATCACCAATCACTCAGGTGGTTGCAGAACTTCAGGGACCCTGAGGGGCAGATTGCTTGATGGCAACAACAGCTACAGGAGTATGAGTTTGAATGTCACCATCGGTCTGGGAACTGCACGGCAACGCGGACGCGCTGTCGAGGATTCCTTCTCCAGGTCACGGAAATTGTCCTTCCTGCATTATGCAACACCTAGGGCTAGTCAACCTACAAAAAGCCGAATGTGTTGGATGGCAAGAAGCAACGGCTTCGGACCCAGACCTACCACTTATCTACCACGAGCAACGCTCGGGAAGGGACAAACCAGCTCCGAACGGAATGAAAGGGAAAAACTACGAAGCTCGATGCTTGTGGACGCTGTGGGATAAGCTCACCGTCGAAGAGGGCGTGTTGGTCTTTGATTTCGGCCCCACGTAACTGAGGAGGATCGTAGTTCTACAGGCGTTAGTTACGGAAGTGCTGTCTGAACTGCACCAACGGCTGGGAAACGCAGGAACCAACAAACGCGAACCAACGGCGCGCCGACGATTTTGTTGGTCACATCAGCTAAGAGACATTGTCAACTTCTGCCAAATTTGCGAAAGATGCGCGACGTTCAAAAATCCGCCTATTGCTCAAAGGGCACCATTACAATCTATGACAGCGGGTTACCCGAACGAAATAATGGGAGTAGACCTCGTTGGTCCGCCACCGGAAACGCCGAGAGGGAATCGCTACATCCTAGTCATGGTAGACTACTTCACCAAATGGTGTGAAGCCGTGCCAATCGCGCAGGCTGATGCTCTCACTATGGCAACAGCGACGACTAACCCCCGGGTTTGCCAAGGGGGAGCGCCTGTGCAACTGCATTCCGATAGGGGATAATGTTTCGAAAGTTCCTTGGTCCATGAGATGTGTAGAGCACTCGGCATCGACAAAACGCGAACAACGGCTTACCATCCACAAGGGAATGGACAAGTTGAACTTACGAATCGGTCGTTGAAGTCACTCTTGAAGGCGTTCGTGGACCAGCACTTCTATGAGTGGGATACGTTGTTGCCTAAATGTTTATGGGCCTATCTCAGTACGGTCAACGCTTCTACCGGGCAAGCGCTGTCGTTTATGTGGATGGGTAGAAAAGTTCGGTTGCCCTTGGAGGTCCGATTACCGAGATCACAATAAGTGTACCCGTCGGTCGCAGAATACGTCAGTAAGCTTCTGGACTCCGTCCGACGCACACACGAAGCGGCACGCATTCACTTGGCGCAAGCTCTAAGGCGACAGAAGGAATACTACAACAAGCAGGTCTTCAGTGTCCCGTTGAAAGCGGGCGACCTCGTATATTTACATCAGGCACCAGTATCAGTAACACCAGGGAAGCTGTATCGTGGGTGCGCAGGCCTCTACGTGATAAACTGAATAATATGATCTAGATTGTGCGACTAGGGACTCAAAGGACGCCGTCGGGCAGCAAATGGTCGTACAATTTAATCGGCTTGAACCTTTCCAAATCGAGTCTGAGCATTCGAATGAGGAGCACCACAGTGAGCCACCAACAGAAGTAGCCACCGAAGTTGAAGTACCGGCTTAAGGAGGCTTTGGCATGGCGACGGAGCCGTGGCCTATATAGAAGGGTTGCGGTGTAACGTACGAGCGAAACCAGGTTGGCGCGTGGTCGAATTTGAATCGTTGCTTTGACGGAACCATTGCCCTCTGCAATTTAGAACATCAATCCTGTGCAATCATTGAAGTAGCACAAGAACCTGAGGAGAACAGTTAACTGTAACTTTTCGTTTGCCCGTTCCTAGGTTACACTGATGCTTTTTTATAGAGCCC